GGGAAAAATGATATCTCAAATGTAAACAAAATATAACCCATAGCCGAGCGTCTCTTATATGAAGCTGTCATAATCGATCCTTAGCAAGAATGAAAAAGTGCATTGATGGGATAACTTGAATCGAACATCCCATGGGACTTACTGGGAAACTGATCAAGAGAACCGCGATTTCTAGAGTTCTTGCTATTTAAATGTGTAAAATCTCGTTCGCGTGCGAGTGTACAGGCTTTCGATTAAAACCGTCATTATGATTAGAAAAACAATAATATTGCTTTTATCTTACGTTTTATTGACATTGAGGTAACCTTTTATCCTAGTGGTGTAAGGTGTATTCAGCGTATAATTTTTTTTAGGGGGGCAGTCTTGAGGAAGAGTTATGTTTGATCTGTTAGTAAATACAAAGATCTTTTCAGTTTAATTCTAAATTAAATTACTTGATTGATAATAAGGAGTACTTTTTGGGGTATTGAACTTATTCTCTTTTTACACCGTCAAATGTTAACAGATGAATTTGACTAAACTACCAACAATAATCAACAATAAAGACAATAAAAAAAACTGTGACATAATCCTTTCAGTCAGTGCATCATTGGCGAAAAGTTTTCAATCTAACCTCATGTTTGCAGTATCATTGTGATAGTGATCACTTGTTTGAACAAAGTGGGCGTTTACTTGGAAGCCTTACAACTGTATATGTATCGGCAAATGGTCACGGACAACCGAAACTAAAAATAAGTTGCTTCTATTCGCAGTTAACTTTAAAACTCCAGTTATAACTACAGTTAGTGAAGTTCGGTAAAAATGTATTTTCCATCACACTTGACTTTCTCTTTCGCGTTTCACCTAGGCAAATATCGATGAAGACAACGATGAACCTCAGTCAACCACTTTCCAGATTATATAAGCATACTTCACCTATATGCTTTTGACTTTTATTATTTTTTCTGCAAATGTGTGCCACCCCCACTAATGATGCAATCCTGTTCTTTTTAGCTCTCAAGGAAATGCTAATTACCAAGGCGCCCGTAAGTTAAATAGTTCGTATGAACCAGCAAAATGTTTTTTTAAAAGAGCCGGTTACTTGGAGACAGGGAGAGAGAGCATCACAGATCTAGATTGTACGATATAGGTCAAGGCAGATTTCGCTGTATCTCACACACGGTAGAATCACTATTCAATAACGTGCCGCTCCGTGAGACAATGTAATAAGCTTTATAATATAATGAGCGGTATAACCTAAAAGTTGGGCTGACGAGCTGGGAGCTGGAATGTTTCCTCTTCTCATGCGCACCAGACATCATTTTCAGTACCAAAATAAACTCACTGCCAAATAAACCGTGTGACGATGAGAACCTTCTTGAGGCCTATCCTCCTGGATCTAATCGCAAACATACTGAACAATGAGATGGCGTATACCTTTCACCATTTTACATTATTTAGAATATATTTAGAATAGGACAAGACAGAAATTAAGTAACTATTATCTTTAGAGTCATGAACAACTTACACATGATGCGATGGAAATCTTTGTGATAACCGACAAACAGCACTGGACTGCTTTTTCGTCCTATTTAAGACTCGTTAAAAGTGAGTACCTCTTGTGTCCCTGTCGAGACACGAACCGCGGACCTCATGAACAGCACCTGAAAAACCGAAGGGGCTAATCCAAACATTCACCGCCTAAGTTGATTGAGCTATTTGCACAAGGAGATGATCATCGACCGTTTAGCTCAGGGGTGAGAACTTAAAGTCCCGACGAGAAGGTTCGCGGTGTGAGTTCTGACAGAGACACAAAAGGTTTGCACTACTGACGAGTCCTAAACAGAACGGAACAGCTGTCCGGTGTTCTTTTTCGGTTATTACAAAGATCTCCATCAAATTTAAATCTCATGGGGAATTGTCGATCTCCCAAGGAGTGAAGCCTACACCCAAGAGCATAAACAGTGCCTGGTGCCAGTGAAAAGAAACACCGAATGGGCTAATCCAAAAATTCACCTTCAATAACAGCTTACAGAAGAATTTACTTATCTCGTTGGAAGAGGAACAAGTGGATCGTCTCGCATTTGTGCACATTCTAATGAAAAGAAGGAAGATCGAGCGAGTAGTTCAACTATGTTGGAAAACTGGCTGGACAGATCAACATCTGAATTTCCGTAGTTTTGTACCAATAAGCTACAAGCGCAGAACAGCAAGAAAAGCCATTCCATCAAGTACATCGCATTTGCACCGAATATAGCTCACATGCGAAGTTTGACCAATTCCAATCAATACTTAACATGTCCGGTTATCAAAGCAGATGTACCATAAGTTAATTGGAACACCGAGGCAGAAACAAGCAGCATTTGACGTTCACTAGAAAAATGTATAAATGGACTTTCTCTTCAAAGGCGATGATATCGGGCTGATCCTCCAAGACCAATTGAAACAGCAGTGAAATGAACTTATAATGCTGCCAACCTAATCATTCTGTACAATAGAACATGTAACCTCATATCATTTGCAAAGCAACTCCTGCGATTTCCCGCCAAATCACACGTACTAAACCAATTTGAATGTGATTGCAGGGTGTTCTGTTGGTATACCAGATATGCAGCTGTATACAATACTCCGGGATCACATTTAGTATTGGGTTAGACACAGATTGACAGATTCACATGATCAAGGGTCATAAACCAATTCGACTCTCACTCATCACTGAATCAGTCAACCACAATTCCAGAGATCGGTTTTACAAGAGAAATCCAGGGCTATCAATCACAAAACACGTCATGACAACTGGACGCATCGTTGATCCGTTCACGCCACTGTTAAGAAACATTAATCCCAACTGTTAGATTTCAGTGAAGCGATATTAAGCAATTTACATAATCCACTTTTGTTTACGCAAACATTTCTGATTTAATCAGTCAAATTACCGTGATCTTACAGTATTTGTCTTCCCTGGTCTGTCAAATTCAACCACATTACCAACCACCACCTTAAACAAAGGTCACGGAACACAAACAACCAGTGTAATCTATCGTTTGAAGTCTGATGATGACAAATTATGGTCCGAGCCCGACAAGCTAAATTACAGTTTTCTATGCCAAAACCGAATTCCGGCTTCTTTAGACAGCACTCTGTTAAAATTAGAAAGTGGAAGCCCTACTTGTCAGTCACGCTATCACTGCCTTGAGTGTTAAAAGTGTATGCAATCGGTCGTCGTCGTACTCTTGTGTAACCTCGTTAACCATATAGACTATTATTTTCTGCCTCATCGTACCAGTTCCAATGCAACAAAATCTGCTTCGGTATGAATCGTGCAACCTCTATAACTTTATCTCTGGAAATAAATGTTTCTGTTTCCATAACCAAGTTATTGTTCGGTTGCTTGCACACGTTTACGGACCTCGGATAAAGAGTGAAGATGATGGTTCACTGATTGACTTCCATTTTCTTTGCTGATGTGAAATCGCTATGTTTATGTATTAAAGGATTGCATTGTCTGTTCGTATAGTCTCCTGGATGAGAGATTTTAAGTGAACAGTTCATAAGGAGATAACCACCGGTTTTGTAGCTGTTCACGGGTAATTGTGTCGATCCCCGGCCGTTCGCCGCTAAATTCAGACAGAGAAGGAAAAGGTACGTACTGCTGACGAGTCCTAAGCGGGTACTCTGGTACTCTCTGACGGCTCAAACAAAATTTCCATCACACTTAAGTAATTCCTGTATTTAACTTTTTTGAACACACGGAACAACGCAAAATTAGACTGGTTCTCTATTTCCAGTGACAGCCAGTTTGCCGAGATTAAGAAGAAACGTAATCTAAGGAGGAAAAACTGTGGGAAATTTACTTGCAACAGGACAACGCTAATATTAATAATAATCAAATAAGAGTAAATAACCGTAATAACAACAATAAAAGATCTATGGACCCATCTTTATTTTCATGACATTTTTGAGTTCCTTCGGCATGGAATCCTTCAAAATGGTCATTAAATCTCGTTGCATTTTTTGGTCCACCACCTTCCATTGTGCACATGACCAGTTGATTTTTCCACTGGGAGCAGAAAAAAAACTTTTTCCTCACATTACGATCTGGACTATTTGGCGGTAACTGGATGAATAGAATCTTTGATTCGGGCAGTTGTCATCACCTTGCTATCCTTTGTGATTGAAAAACAAGGTTCAATATGTTTAGTTAGCAATTATACAGTCTGGAAAAGACGAACTTTGTTCTCCGTATATATATATATATCACTGTTTTCAACTATGTTGATTATTGAGTGTGTTTTTTGTAGCAAATACTAATCTGTGTTCGAAGTAGTAATGGTTGCCTCATTCTGGTTAACTGAAGCCGCACCTGAACAATACACTTCTCTTCATATCTTACAAATGCTGACAAAAAGCTTTTGTGCAAATGTATGTTTGGCAGATTTGATTTTGACAAAATATTGAAAATCGGTTTTCGTAGCTCGGGTGAACTGAATTCCATTTTGCCTGTTCGCCGAGCTTGGCAATTTGTTTGCAAACGTTTCATCACCAGCCGAGGTGACATCATCAGTGCTTGTGAAGATTTGATTTTTGTATGGCGATTGCGAAAAGTTCACTAGCCTCGGTGGGATTCGGANTAGCACTCATCTTTTCACATTCAAATTACCCATCGCTGTGGCCTCGTAGCTCAGATGGTAGAGCCTTTGGTTGCGGTTTTAACCCGACCATCCTTCCATTGATAATAGTTGCAAGCGAAGTTACAATTCTTGCGGTTTTCCGAGGTTTTCAATCTGTGGTTGATATGCATCTATTTTAAGACCGGTATTTGATTTAAAGGGCCACCAATCTCAATGATATCTGCAGTGTACGGTACAAATAGGATTCGCATATGCGATAGCCATTCTAATTTGCATTGCTTTTATCATTTATGAGCAGGTGGTCATTGTCACGACAGCGTGACAGTCGGAACGGTGGATAGACAAGCACGGAGAAAACTCGTCCTGGCTAGTGGACTTTGTTTGGTATTCATGATCGGTGAAATCATCGGTAGGTTCGGGAAATGTTGTTCTGTATAAAAAAAATCATTTTAAGATCTCTTTATCCCAATGATTGTTAACCAGCATCCATGATAATATGATGTGTAAAATGAAGATGATGATGTTAACGGAAGATCGAATAACGAGTAAAGTCGGTTGCTGCCTGGGTTTTTATATGGGAAATTCATTTAAATATCTATTTGCTAATATAGTCAGTTGTTTCAGGTCCATATTTGTTTGACATAGAGTTTGTTTATATAAGAAAACGAATATCAGACTGTTGAGTGTTGAATATGCGACTGACAGCACCTTTCCTACATTTGCAAGTAAACGTACTTCTGTCCACGAATTTCACTACCCTCGCCATGAGGTATGTCTACAATATATTCTTATTGGTAATAGTATGCCTGGTTTATTCACCTTGCACTCATCAGAACTAAATTCTGACAGAAGATGAACTTGTTTGGGGCCAGACGTAACTAGTTTATGAATTTCAATTAAATTAGTACCAGAATATCAATTGTGTTAGCGATTTTGTACTGGAAGTCTTTCGGAAATTAGTGTCATCTTTCAGTGTCATAGCTCTGACACACGCGATGTGTACTGATCTATACATACACTCACATCTCAGTGTTTCATCGCGAACGGAACGGAACTATGCAATTCGATTCCCTCTCCGTCTCTAATTGGAAACTTCCGATTCCCGTACATCGTTGTAGGATATTGCTCGATCATTTGCTTCCCATTTAGCCTTGAAACACCGTCAGCCAAAAGTACATTTTCACATAAGTATGCTTCGTTTGTGCCATGGGATAACAAATTTTGATTCGATCAGAAATTATGAATATTAAAAGTGATTAACTCTTCCTTAAGATCCAGCGTCATTTTTGCCCTGGTGGTTCCACCGAAATGAAAAACAGGTATTCCACTGTGATCACTTTAGTTCACTGTTTTATCATTGTAATTATGTAATTACCAATCACCTTGTATCGAAATAATTTATTGTAGTTAAATCTGGCTGAAGTGGTGAAGCTGGGTAACTTAACAGTCATCACCACCGACGTTTATTGTTTGTATGCAGTGGATCTTATCAATTTTAACAGAAACTGTTTCATTTAAATGATCTGCAAACCTAAGTGTGCACGTCTAGACCATATCATAGATTGAACTCAAATAAATTGCCAAAATGTATTTACTGTCTCTGTTTGAGGTCAAAATGCTCACGAACGAAATTTTTACTGTCGAAAATTACTTCCCGTAGACAATGAAACAAGGATAGTGGGTTAATGTATCATTCTCAATCAAAACAAAAAATGAGTAAACTTTTCAAAGTTTTCGGTCTGAAAGATAAGCGATTTAGTCAAATCAATCAGTTGATAGAGCTGATGGTCACGAACTCATTTGCAATTAGGTTGAAAAACACGGTGTTTGGTTTGAATATCTGAATCAGTAGCTAATCAGTGTGGTAATAAAATCATAATATTGATAATCTTTTTATCCTATCTGTTCAGCATATGACAGTTATGTAATACACATTCATAAATGTTTTTTTGGCTGATTTAAGGCTGCTAAACAACAAATGAGAAGGTACTCTGATGGTGAGGGTGTTCGAACTTAAGACCATAGAGAAACTGGGCAGAATGTCTCTACCGCTAGCCACTGTCACTCCAGAAGCGTGTGCGCAAACAATAGTAGTCAAGGTGTATTTTATTTCCACAACTAATTTAGATGCGCATTGGGTAGATGGTCAAAGAGCTTATTGCTTGGTCATTATCCATTCACGTTCCGGAGATTCGAATCCAACGATCAATTTGATGCAAACTCACACTTTTAGTGAGAAGGGTGATGATTTTTGATGAAACAAAAATTGAG